GATAATTCAGTTTGAACATTGAATGGCGAAAAAATAGTAACTTTTAAAAAACTCTAAATCACGGCCGTCTAAATAATTTTTAGCTCAATTTCGATGACACATTCAGAATTAACATAGAAAACTGGTCTAGGAACACTTTCAAAGTATGATGGATTGATGGAGAGTCTTGCTATGGAGAGTCAGAGAGAGGGAAGTCGAGAAAATGAGAATCGCTAAAACGGGCTTTTTTGAATACTAGCCGTTCTACTTCTGGGCGCGCTTCGCGCGCCCGGCACGTCTAGCCGAGGGCTGCGCCCCCTGGACCCCCGGTCACTTGCTACGCGAGTGCCGATTTTGTGGTGGTTGCGAATTTTTTTGTCACTTTATTATGAAGATTTCACAGAAAGCATTATTAAATTTTCACTCCACAATTAACTTGTAGAATAACAATGACGGGGTAAGAGATAGACTGTATCTTGAAATGGACGATTCCCACTTAGCAGAAACAGCCATCACCACGAGAAATTGAGGAACCATCTTTAGCCAATTTTTTTTTTAATTTTCGAAAAAAAATTATTGACATTTTAGTTGCGTTTCCTTAAATGATAAGTATTAATATAAATTTCCCCTTTTTGCAGTGTTGTTAAAATAATAAAAAGTTACCCAGTGGGAAATTTCATTTGTATTCCCGGTGGGCCTGCTACTCCAAATTTGAATAAATTTGTCGTTAAAAAATAAAGAAAAATAACAAAGAAAACGACTACTAGGGTAATCTGAGCTCAGCTGCGTGTGTGTATTAGCAAGATAAAATAAAAACACCGAGGAGATTTAAGAAAAACACAGCAGAGAACCAAGGAAAACACAGTAAATCAGAGAAATAGCACAGTCAAATAAATAAAGAAAATTACAATTGAAGAAATTCTAATTATTTTGAAAATAATTCGCTGGCGTAATCTATGCGTAGCTGCGTGGGAGCATGAGCGAGATTTATCATCAACTGACCATGCAACTGACCGCCATAGAGAAAAAAAAGGAGGTGTTTGCATTTCGGGCATCTTGGAATTTTTTGATGATTTGATGACGTAGGTCGGTACAGCGACGTTTAGCGTGAAGGGGACGTCGCTGTACCGACCTAAGTCATCAAATCATCAAAAACTTCCAAGCCGGCCAGGTTGGCCTAGTGGTTAGCGCGTCTGACTCTAGGTCAATAGGTCCCGGGTTCGAATCCCGGTGGTGGCGACAAATTTTCATGGAACTGACGAGTGGATCTGTAAGCAGAATTCGCTCGGCCTTAAGGTTAATCTTCAGCTGTAGTTCCGAAAAAATCCACCACGTCGCGCTGCTAAAATCCGACTCCGAAATCAGTGATTATTTAAATATCACAATAGGTATCTTAAATTCTAAGACTCATAAGTTCTAGCAGCATACGTCTGGAATCCTTAGAAACAAACGCGAGCTTTGAAAGTCTAATAATAAAAGCTGTAAATTGATCCCAGTTTCTCTTACGGGATATCTGTAAGTGCGAGAGAGACAGCTCACGGTGGGAGAGAGATATCTGCCAACTGCTGAGAGCGATCAAGCGCGATTGGTTGCATCAAGGTCATCATGCTTAACCCTACTTTTTTCTGGGATCAAATTGCAGAACTTCAGAAATGACTTTTCACGTTGTTTTTAGGGTCAATAGGAAGAAGAATGTTATAGCTAGAACTTATTTATCTTCGATTTAAACAGAAATTCCTTCAACTTTTATAAAAGCTCAAGGACTCACGTGGTGCTGTACGGACTCTAAAACACAGCGGTGGCGCCCCCTGCGCGGAGAAATTTCTTACTTCACGCAGCTGTAGATACACCTTAATCCGTGAAAATTTGTAAGCCCGAGCATGGATGTCTACCAAACTCCCTGATGTCTTCGGACAATAAATAGTGCCTATAGATGGCTGTAGATTCCTAAAGGAATAGAAGCCACTAAACTCTCAATAATAAAAAAAAAAAAAAAAAAAAAAAAAAAAAAAAAAAAAAAAATTTCAAGATGCCCGAAATGCAAACACCTCCTTTTTTTCTCTATGACTGACCGCTGGCCGCTAGGTACCCTGGTACCCTGGTATCTAGGTGGGCGAGCGACAATGCGTAAGCGGTGGCATATCTCGATTGACAGAGGAGTGGGGAACGGTGAAACATAGGGGAAAGGTTCAGGCTGAACCGTTCAGCACAGCGCAGCGTCAGTCACCAGGTGGGGAAGAGAGGCGGGCAGGGGACACGTCCCCTCGAGTGAAATAGAAAAAGGTGTAATCGCTGAAAGTCTGAATCCTTCGAAGTTTATATTAATGATAGCTAAAATTCACTCCATCTTTGGGGGTCGATATCTCTTGAACGGGGCGTCGGATGGGAAAACCCTTCAAACCAGTTACTTAGAATGATGTAAAGACCCCGTATACCAATTTTCAGGCAAATCGGAGGGGGTCGGGTTCCGAGCCTGGTTGCATCGACGTGGAATGACCCTTGTGTCAGATGGAAAAATCATCCCCTTAAAGTAATGTTGGGCCATTTCTTGTTCAATGCGTTGTTAATTCTTTTTTTGAAGTCCACGCAAGCTATTTTGAGAAAAGAGATAGAGAAAGAAAGGACCACTGATTCCATAACATTGATACCATCTTATCAGTATCGTGCTCGACTTACAAGCGTCACACTAACACTGTCACACTGTTTCCTATATTTCAAAAAATATTTTATTCCTTTTAGTTTGGCAACAACTACAGTGATCTGTCTAGGAATTTGATGTGTACGTCTTGCGTTTTCCCCCGTCGTCTTGGAGTTTCTTTTCGAAAATTTCGGCCGTCTAAGAATTTACACCTCCCCATGCTGCGATGCGCAACCCTGCGTGCGCGCGCCCAGCGGCCGGCCGGCCGCGGCGCGCCCCGCTGGCCCACAGCCTCACGTCGTCATTGGACCGTTTGTAACCTTACGCTTCAAAATACGCCAAAACGGACGAAAGAGCCATGCACAAAGTGGCCCATTTTTGGGCCCTCGAAATTGGGGTCGGAGTGAGGTTTTTTTTCATCCTTAGGGTGACCCTTTACACATACTAAAATTTCAGATTGAGTATACGCACTGTTTCCGAGTTATGGGGGGGCAAAGTCCCCGATTTTCACCCATTTTTGCAGGTGTTTTAATGTCGAACACCGGCTGTTACGAGGTACCAGATCTAGATATTGAAGCGCGGTTTGCGGTGATTTGTTCAGCTATTCCTGTAGTATTTTTCCACATCTTTCACGAAGCCCCAAATGGTTTTTCGGGGGGCGGGGAGGGGGGCTTTATTCATACTATCACGACCGTTAGCGCATCTTACTGACTTTACTTTGATCTCTTCTCTCCACGCCGCGGTCATGATGGTATTTTCTGTCGGGTATTTTTCTTCTTCTTTACATTTTACCAATTTTAGTGTCCTTCCCCCCTTTTCCCCTTTTTACCCCCTCCCCCGCAATCCAAACACTTCATCTCAAGTGCTTCTTCCCGTAAGGCAGATGACGGGGTCATATGTGGGGGATTATTTTTCTTTCAGGACGATTGATAAACTTTGACCCAACTTACTTCTCCCTTACAGGGGTAAGGGCCCCCTTAGCATTTGAAGCATTGAAGCATGAAGCATTTTGCTCCCTCCGCAGGAGAAATGACGATGTTTTCTGTGAATAATTTTTTCTTATTCATATTTTTCACGTTTCTCTTTCCACTTCTATGTTTGATTTATTCTGTCCTAGGTACATTCTCTTCCGCTTTCTTCCAATTTTGAAGCACGAAAACTTACTTTTTCAACAGCAATTGACGCCTCACCAAAAATGTTTTAGGTAGATGAAAAATAAATAGTAAATAGATTAGATTTATTTACAGCATTCATAATACCTATCGCAAATGAATGGCGTGTGAGCCTCAGTAGAAGTATTTCAGTACCTAAACATAAGTAAAAAATTATTTGACAGAAACATCGTCATTTCTGCTGCGGAGGGAGCAAAATGTTTCAAGTAAAGTGGAGCGTGCCAGAGGGGGGGGGATAATACAGGGGTAAGGGGGCCCTTACCCCTGTAAGGGAGAAGTAAGTTGGGTCAAAGTTTATCAATCGTCCTGAAAGAAAAATAATCCCCCACATATGACCCCGTCATCTGCCTTACGGGAAGAAGCACTTGAGATGAAGTGTTTGGATTGCGGGGGAGGGGGTAAAAAGGGGAAAAGGGGAAAAGGGGGGAAGGACACTAAAATTGGTAAAATGTAAAGAAGAAGAAAAATACCCGACAGAAAATACCATCATGACCGCGGCGTGGAGAGAAGAGATCAAAGTAAAGTCAGTAAGATGCGCTAACGGTCGTGATAGTATGAATAAAGCCCCCCCTCCCCGAAAAACCATTTGGGGCTTCGTGAAAGATGTGGAAAAATACTACAGGAATAGCTGAACAAATCACCGCAAACCGCGCTTCAATATCTAGATCTGGTACCTCGTAACAGCCGGTGTTTGACATTAAAACACCTGCAAAAATGGGTGAAAATCGGGGACTTTGCCCCCCCATAACTCGGAAACAGTGTGTATACTCAATCTGAAATTTTAGTATGTGTAAAGGGTCACCCTAAGGATGAAGAAAAACCTCACTCCGACCCCAATTTCGAGGGCCCAAAAATGGGCCGTTTTTGGCCCTTTTTGTGCATGGCTCTTTTCGCTCTCAGAGCCGTAAATTGCAATTTTCCTTCAGAATTGATGTGTCATTTGCCAATATTTTTGAATTTTAGATTTATGCCCTTTGAGGCATGGGTTAATTTTTTTTTCTTTTAGGGAGTTCACTTCGAAACTGTATAGGAACTTTTTAGGGGTTGAGCAACTTGATTTTCGCAAAACTCAAAAATAAGGTACACTCTAAAGGAGTGGGTATGAGGAAGACAGCAAACATTTTCTACCTTATTCCTCTTTTCGTTTTTAATGAGCAACTCTCTCAAACAAATATTATCATAATTCTTTAATTTTTGTGTTTCAATTTTAGATACCTGCTCCTAAAATGATACCATCCTCCTGTAGACTGTTGTACAAAATCTCTAAGAGTTCAAAGAATTTGGCGTCTAAGGGGCTTTCAGGTTAAAACATTTGTTTTACAGTCATCTCTATATCATTTGCGAGTACCCACCATCTTTAGTTTCTTGTTGTATCTATTGATTTTATATTTTCCTTTTTGTACAAATATCAACTCACTTGTTGCCCTGGTGTGTTGTATGAGAGTAGGCATACTTAGATAGGATAAAGAAACACAGTCCAGGCAAACTAGCTTCTCACCTCGGACAGATTAGCACAAACTTTTCCTTTAGTATATAGGGTCTCTAGGTACCCAATAAGATAGAAAAAAATGTTTACTAAAAAATTCCATCGGGAAAGTGGTAAAATCGCAGTATTTCAAAATGACAGCTTACGGCGATTTTCAAAGAGGACGTCCATACGGATTTCCCTTTATGACTCAAAAATCATGCGTGAAACAAAAAAATTACAAGAGATCAATTTGAAAGATCATACAATTTTGGTTTAGAAATCATATTCAAAACTTGGGCTTTTACTATTTCTTTTCTTCCTAATTTTACTGTTTAGAAACCCCAACCGGCAAAATCTGCTGAAAATTCAGAAATTTTCGCGTTCTTGACTAATTTTAGATCATAATAATTAACTTAAGGTTAAAAACAATGACTCCACTGAAAAGTACGCTAAATTTTACTGAAGTATAATCAAACATTTCACCTTTACATGTTATATGATCTCATTGTGAGAGGAATCATTCGAAAGCATGACATCAATATTTAACAACAATTTGAGCTGTTTTTTTCCGTTTCCAGCGCTTTTGATCAATTAGTTTTTGATAAAAGTACAACCTATACACATTTTTTAGGAAGGTGATGAAATTTTCAAGACGAATACCACACTGGTTTTCCTTTAAATCTTACATCATGTAACTGAAAAGCGTCTTTAAGGGAATTACGCTAAAAATTGATTTCTCTAGAAATTCCAGAATTTCAAAGATTTCCGGCTTTTTGATAGCTGGAAACTGAGATTACGGTTTAACGATGGTAATAAACGTTTAGAGTATAAAATTAACGTAAACGTGCATATCTGAAATTACTGTTTTGAATTTTTAGAGAGAGTTAGATATGGCGTTAAAGTTGTCTATTGGAAAACCCGGCTGCTCGGTTTAGAACCTTCTTTCTTAACATATACCCAAAATTTTCAAGTTTAGTAATTTTTGTCTGAAGTAAATTTGTTGGTACCAATGTAATAGCGCATGAAAGTCAAAAAATGTTAATGAATACATTTTTGAAGGTAGTTAGGTGTAGGGTAGGTGGGGGTAAGAGTACGCACGGGGTAAAAGTACGCACTGCACTTTTTTCGCGCGCTTTGTTTGAATTTATGATGGCACCAGGTGTTGGTTGTTGGCAACATTGAGTTTCCCTTGTTGACGAAGTTTTGTGCGAAGTGGATGTGTTTTGACGGAATTATGAGGCAAGTTCACTTTTCATGCGAAAAAGATCGATTTTTTTAGTATTTGTATTGTCTGTTGTGAGTAAAATAGTTGATGGAGAAAATCTGACAGACATTGTGTCAAAGTGTTATAGTGTTGGCTTTAATAATCCGTGGTTGTTTTCACACCTAGCGCCTTGAGCTCAAAGTTTTAGTTTATGTTGTCCAATGTTTACAAGTGGGGCAGGAGTACGCAGCCAGAATGGGGCAAAAGTACGCGCCCAAAAGTGGGGTGTAGTGGGGGAGGAGGGTATAGGAACTTCGAAATAGAAGGTATAGGCTACTTACTAAGTATCTTAATAAATTTTTATGTTCCTTTGTTCAATTTGGGCAATTACACTTTTTTATTTTCCTGTTGAAAAATAATTGACTTCGAAAATTTTTTGGGAACTTGTGGAGACTGAATTATTTTTTTTTCCTCAGTAAAAGTGGTTAGGCACTATTGGCACCCTTTGAGACCAGTTTCAGTCGTTTTCCGGGATTTAACAGCGATTTGGAGCCCAGGAGATGTTTTTAAAAGAAAAATTTCACCTGCGTACTTTTGCCCCATTAAATGGGGCAAAAGTACATTACATACATTTTAAAATTTTTTTAAAACATTTGTCACGGCCATGGATTTGATTTCTAAATTCGGACAACGCAGGGCATTTGTGCGCGAAGGCTTGCAGTAGGTGCCTGACCACTTTTCCCGCCTTAAAAGTCGATTCGGTCACGAAAATACGGGAAAAACCAAAAAATGCGTACTCTTACCCCACCTACCCTACTTAGAAGCCAATTTTTGAGACGTCAATTTACAAATTGTACAATAACAAGGCGTTGTCTCAGGTTTTTAGGCCGAGATAGCTGCTCGTGATTCTGCTTAAGGGGTAAGTGATTCGGCATTTTATAATACAAAATTCATGACCATGTTTCTACGAATTCTAATTATACGTCCAAAATGTATTCTTTTACTACTAGAGTAGGAATGAAATGATTCTTTCAATTGGGCGAAAAGGAAACACGTGGCCACGATCTTAAAAAAAAGTAATTTATCAAGTCCCGAACAAAAAATAAACAAAGTTTATGACCGGTCTTATTTAGACGCAGATAAAATACCGAAATAGAAGGTTAAAAATCGCAATAGTAGGCGAATTTTTACCTATGTCTATAGACGAAGGTTGACCATATTCAAGAATCTTACTTGAAATGTGTATGCAGTATGAAAACATTGATATTCAGATATTTCGGGTTGAAAGTTGGAAAAGTTTGATTTTGAAGTTGGGCCCAAGGGCGACAGTTGACCATATTCAAGTATGTTACGTGTCTAGGTGCCCTTGACACCATATTCGAAGCTCATCACCCGTCGCCTTTGGGCCCAGGTCGAAATCTGAGGTAGAACCGCGAACAACATGGATTTTCGGCTATTTCGGGCTAAAAAGTTGGAAAAGTTTGATTTTGAAGTTGGGCCCAAGGGCGACCGTTGACCATATTCAAGTATGTTACGTGTCTAGGTCAAAGACATGAAGACGGAGCACTAAAAGCAAAAAATGAAGCTTCTAGAGCTTCTTTTCAATCACCTCTACTATTGGCTAGAGGATTGGCGGCGAAATCGGGACAAGTTTGAATTCAAATAGAGGGCGGGAACTAATAAATAAAATTGCGGAAACAAAGTATTTTAGGTTGATTTTTGCCCAAATTCAGGTACACACTCATATTTTTTTAACTTTAGGTTAGTTTCAGTCCGTCGTCGACCGATTAATTTCATTTGGGAGTAACGTTGATCTAGAACTGTAACGGCCTGTTTGAACCTGCAGAACCACCATGAGCAGAAGAAAAACTAACTTTATGTGAGATTACTGCCTGTTACCGAGCAAAAGTAGGTGTATTATATTAGGACGCAGACCGAACTTTCTTAGTATATTCGTTTTAGGAATTTAAAATACGTTTCAAAGAAGAAATGTGCAAAAATCAAGAGGACAAGTTCAAATCAAATTTCCGTTTACCGCCATGGATTCCCGCGCTCATTTACACACTCACACAAGCGCGCAGCGCCGAACCTAGCTTCACTTTTTCCCCGTGCTTTTAGATACGAGCGCTCCGTCTTTATGTCTTTGGTCTAGGTGTCCTTGGCACCATGTTCGAAGCTGTCCCCCGTCCCCGTGGCGAGGCACCCGTCGCCTTTGGGCCCAGGTCGAAATCTTAGGTAGAACCGCGAAAAACTCGAAATCACAGCTATTTTCGGCTTCGGAGCCATGTTTAGGCCCCTGTTTCGCAGCCAAAAAACTTGAGTATCGGCAAAACTCGATTATTTCTGTCAAATATGCACCGTCAACTTCCATATATCCAAAAATTTCTCAATTCCGTGGAGGGGCCGATTTCGGCCCAAATCGCAACCCCTCCTTTTGGTCTAGAAAGGTTGTTCAACATCTGTTCACGGTCCTTCTAAGTAATTATATTTGTCGGTAGGATAATTTCTTCTTGGATCATAAATGACACTTTTATGAACAAAGTCTGCTTTTAGCTCCATTTTCCTAATTTTTAAGAATTTTAAAAGTGTTTGATTAAAAAACCATTGTAATTGCGTGAAAGTACACGCAATTTATCATAAGAAATGGTACGTATTTTTCAAAAATGTTGATAATTTTCGAGTTTGACACGGCTTTATTTAAAATTGTAAAAAATGGCAATATTTACAGAAAGTTGAGTTTCTATGCAAAACACCATCACTCAAAAGGTGATAACAATACAGCAAATATTCTATCAAACGTGTGAATTTATTTAATTCATTACCGGAGGGGAAAAAATTAACGTAATAAAAAATAAATAATAGGAGGGGAAACTGACCCTCCTCCTCATCCCTGCTTTCCACAAAGAGCGCAAATGGATAGGACCGCAGTCTGGAACTAACAGATACTTCACGCGTACAAAGTGAAGACAATTTTCATCGTATTTATGCATACACTACGTAAAAATAAACTAATAGGACAGAGAATAGCGAAGTCTGTACATCTAATGGTATTTAAAAATATTGCGGAATGGAACATCACACGTAAAAGAAAGGGAGCTACGATGCGAGCCCAGCCGCCGCACAGTACGGCATCTTTATGGACGATGCGGACAAAAATCGGTAAAAGATACTTAACCTTAAATAATGAATATACTGGCATGGACATAAGGAAACCCTTTGGCACTGTCAAGCTAGAACACCTGACGGATAAGAAAATGTTATTATCTGAGGATATTTTCCGTATTTCCCAAGAGAAGTCCATCGAAAGTTGGCAACCTCGAATCAGCCCTATGTTAAAAATGTAAAAGCAATGCAAAACAGCCGAACTTTAACTTCAAATATCTCTGATAGTCGCAAAAAGTCGCAAAATATTTTTGGTTGGATTGAAGTTGGATATCTGAGGATTTAGAAAATCTTAACCTCCCAATAACCCAGACATATAGGAATTTTATGCGATTTTAAGAGCGGAACTTTTTTTCTCACCTGATTTCTCATCCATAGAGAGTCCCTAACGAGAATCCAAATTTGCCGCATCGAAAATTTATGGAAACTCCCTCCCCCCTCCCCCAAAAAAAAACCCCATAATCGAAA